AAGAAAAGCCTGGACTAGAGTAGTATGCACGTGTACAATGGAGGAAGAACAGTCATAGACTCCTGCAGCCCACGGTGGCCAGTTTCATGGGGAGATCAGAAGTCAGGGATCCTGGGAATGTAAGACTGTCATTGGCTATGCCCCTAACCTTTGAGTCCCACCTCCCTTGCCCTGGGGTGCAGGGAGCAAGAGGAACGTGGTGTGCGTTGAGGCTGGAGAGACAGCCCTAGGAGTCTTCTTTCACCTCCCTCACGAGGTCTACCCCTCTTCATTACTTGCTTTTCCAACCCCTTTCCCTGTAGCACCTGGCACAGTTGCCATTTCATATCTACTCGTGTCATTATTTGATAAACGTGTCTTCCTCACTACACTCCGCGAGGGCAGGTCCCTTGTTTGCTTCATTCACCATTGTATCTCCAGCACCAGCACAGCGCTAGGTACTCGGTGGTTGCTCCAGAAGTGTCTGCTGGGTGAAAGAAGGTAGACATTTCCATTCTTTCAGCCTATAAAGAGAGAGCGGTGGGACAAAGGTGTTCCCCTGTGGTTGCGAGTGGGTAGGTTGAGGCCATGACGGGAAGAGCTGGCAGTGTGGTTACTCTTCTAGGATTAGCTGCCTGTGCCAACGTGTCACACACGTTCTCTCTCCCCCTCTATGCCCTTGCCCTAGGAGAGGTCCCTTGTCATGTTCCCATGAATGGCTCCCGCCAGGGAGTGTAAGAGCTTGGGGCTCTAGAGCCAGGCTGACAAGGTTCAAATTCTAGCTCTACCACTTCACTGCCACATATCCTTGGGCCAATCACGGAACTTCCCTGCTCAGTCTCCTCATCCGTAAAATGGGGCTAATAACAGTTCTAACTTTGTTGGGAGGATTAAACGAGATATTACGCCCGTAAGTACTTAGACTACAGCCTGGCACAGAGTAAATGTGACATATGTACACTGTCTACACGGGCTTGGCTCTCAATACAGCAAAGAGCCTATCCCCAAAACCTCTCCCTTGTCTAGAGTCCAAGTACATAGCCTTCCCCTTTGCTTTGGCAAGGTAGGCAGGAGACAGGAAGCAGAAATGATAAGCGGGGTAGAGGCAAGTTGGGGGTGGGTCTGGGTTTGAGGCCTGCCTGCCCAGAATGTGGCAGTCGTATGAGAATTTTCTTCTGATCAAGTTTCCCTTCAGGTTCCAGTGGCTGTTTGCACGCCACTTCCAGTCCAGATGAGGTTTGCTCAAGTGCCAGCAAGGATATGCCCCCTGCCAATGTTCTGACCACCCCAGCCTCAAGGACAGGTCTAAATCCCTGAGGCTGGGGTTGAGATCCAGTCCGTGGCTCAGACTGCCATGTGACCCAGGAAGAGAGGCGTGCACCCGGGTCTGGGGATGGCGCAGACAGCCTGTGTCAATGGGGCCCTTTATGTGCAAGCTCAGCACTCAAAAGTTATTTCTTCTGCAGTATTTTGCCTGCAATTAGGGTGGTCAGCATAGGGGAGAAGTGTGTCTGCATTCCCTGCTGTAGGAGTAATATGCTTATGCAAGACAGACCTTTGTAGAAACATCGGTTAAGCAGGAAAAAAAATAATGAGGTGCTTCCAAAATTAGCACTTCAAAGGAGATTCAATCACATTCTACACAACTGAAAGATGTAAAGAAATTAGGGGCAGAGAGAAAAGCATCAATTTTATGAAAGTGGAGGATTGAGCCTTCACAGGGAAAGATGAAAGAGAAGGGTTTATTGAGGCTGGAGGAGAGATGGCGGAGAAAGAACTTCGCGAATTGGCAGGTGTGTGAAGGGATAGCGCATGATCAGGCAGAGCTCACTTTTATGTGTTGCTTCTGAGGGCACCATAAAAGGAAAGAAAGTTAAATTGTGACAAGAGAAGAGTCGAGAAGATGGTGAGTCCCAGGATCTGTTACCACAAGAGGGATGAGAAATGACGTTCTATGTGTGGAGATTAAGAAAAAAAGGCAAGACTATCAGACAGAGAGGAGAGGGTGCAATCGTACTTAACCCCAGGCCAATAAATACAATAATATTATATGAAATATAATCATTGTCTCGTATGAAGCAACAACTCTGTATAAGAATTTCCCCTAGCTCTTCACGTCATCTTGGTTAATTTTTACAACCTTTCCATGGGTGATAGGTACTATAATCTCCATTTTCAGAGCTGAAAAAAAACAAGGCTCTGTGGGGGCAAGCAGCTCGCCTACATCACTAGTAGGTGGGAGCTCCATAACACCAAATCTGAGTCCTTCTGGCTTCAGAGCCTACGTCCGCTGCCCCACACCGTCTCTCAGAGGCAATAACATGTCTTTTGGCAATTTCCTTTCTCTTATGAATTGTTCTTCAGTTTAGATTTCTCACCGTATCTTTTTCCCCCAAACAAAATATGGTTATGTGAGCAACCACGTGTATGCGTCTGCTCCGTACAGGTTCTCTTCCCTTCGGAGCAGACTCAAGTGACGTTGGGGCAAAGGTGGGTAGGTAGATGAGGAACAAAACACCCATCTCTTCTGGCTTAAATGTCATAGCTCTACTGACGTACAGACACACGCACTGTGAGAAAGCAGGAGAGAAAGATCCAGGGCCTTCTTGGAGTACAAACCAAATCAGGCTGTGGCTAAATCCACACTGACTTGTGAAGACCACTAGAAAGAGCATATGAAAAGGGATGAGCATACACTGGTACTCAGAACAAGGTCATTTCTTCCTTTCTCTTTTTTTCTTTTAAAAAGGTTTTATTTATTTATTTGACAGAGAGAGAGAGAGAGCACAAGCAGGGAGAGTGGGAGAGGGAGAGGGAGAAGCAGACTCCCAGCCGAGCAGGGAGCCCAATGTGGGACTCGATCCAAGGACCCTGGGATCATGACCTGAGCCGAAGGCAGATGCTTAAACCACTGAATGACCCAGGTGCCCCAAGGTCATTTCTTCCTAAAAGAAGAATTATTACTTATAGTGTATATTAGAATATATAGAATATATTACTTAGAGTGTCCTGAAGGGCAATGGGGGAGGAAAAACCACCTGGGGATCAGAAATGACTGTGAACCCATTGGGTTCAGCCAGCACCACCCCTACCACAGTCCATCGGTAATTCAGAGGCAGAAGACACAGCAATAATATATGTTAGTTGCATCTAATTCAAACTGTAATTTCGGCAGTTATTTCCAAGCTAGTGTGTGTTCATTCAGAGTGCCTACTCTGTACCTAGAGCAGGGAGGGGTAAGAAGAGATGAACCAGAAATAGTTCCTGCCTTAAGGAGCTCAGAATTGGTAGGGAGGGTAAGGCATGGGTACACATAATTAAAAAAAAAAAAAAAAAAGTAACACAGTGATTAATGTTACAGGAGCATCACCCGGTAAGGGCAGAGGAGTCTCAGAAAGGAGGAAGGTTTACTCCTAACCTACAGGATTAAAAAAACAAAATGCTTCGTGGAGGAGGTGGTAGTTGGGCTGGCCTTTGGATAAGCAGGAATTCAGGGTGGAGAAATGAGGGATGGCAGTGGGACGGCAGAGAAGAGAGAAAGGCCTTCCATCTAGTATTTACTGTAATGCGGCCAGAGGACGGCCTGTGTCAGAATCTGAGGAGGCCGTGTTTGAACTGTATCTTGAGAAACCCATAGGATTTCCACAGACAGAGATGGAAGGAAAAGTATTTTCCAGAAAGCGGCAATGTTCCCTCCTCTAAGATCTTGCTGTACATGTGCAGTTCTTACTTAGGCAGCCACTTTGTTCCCCTGACCTCCCAGTTCCTTATCATGAAATGGCTGTCACTCATTCACCCCAGAGTTGGTTGCTCTACGGTTGGAAGTAGAGGCTCTGACCAATCAGAGAGTGATATCTGTTACTTTTCTATTGCTTTCAGGTTTCGGACTTTTAATATGCTCAGTTTAAGTGCACTAAACTCAAACAGAAACCACTGTTCGGGGCTGCCTCCCGTCATCTACGTGGTCTCAGGAATGGATTCTCAAAGCAGAGTCTACGGACCACCTGCCTCCGAGTGGACAATGGGGTCTGCCCACATGCACATCCCGGGACCCCACCCCAAAGCCGTTGAATCACAATCTTGCAATTATTGTCTGAGGCTCTGAAAGTTCTCCAGGTGATTCTGACGAGAAATCTTGAGGGGGGAGAGCGAAGGCACGAAGGCAAGAGAGCAAAGGGATACTGTGAGTAGAATCTGATGTGTGTGAATGGAAGAATGTGGGCCTAGAAAGGTAAGCTGAAGCTACGGTGTGGGAGGCCTTCACTGTCTGGGGCAGGGGGTGGATGTGTATTCCTGGCAACAGGGAGCCATTCTTTTCAGGGGCAAAGTGAAGTGGGGGAGAGCCTGGAGTCTGCACTACTAGCTACGTAACCTTGGACTAAGCTGTTAACCTCGCTCCGCCTCAGTTTCATCATCCATAAAATGGGAATACTCATCATACTCTTCACACAGGGTCATCATGGGAGTAAATGAGTTCATGTCGATGAAGTATTTAGAATTGAGACTGGCGGGGCGCCTGGGTGGCTCAGTCGGTTAAGCAGCCAAATCTTGATTTCGGCTCAGGTCATGATCTCAGGGTCGTGAGATCGAGCCCCACTTGGGCTCCACGCTGAGTGTGGAGCCGGCCTGGGATTCTCTCTCTCTCCCCCTCTGCCCCTCCCCGCCCCCCGCTTGCATGCTTGCACTTTCTCTCTCTCTCAAAAAAAAAAAAAAAAAAAAACAACTGACGGGCGTTAGTAAGTACAGTATGTGTCAGCACAAATACTTTCTTTTTTTAAAAGTAAGCTCTACGCCCAATGTGAAGCTTGAACTCATGACTCTTTCAGCTGGTGGCCCTTAAAATCAGTGTTTCCTTCCTCCCTTTTGTGAATGGACTGCCCTCCCCCCCCAACCCCGGCTAAAAACCGAGGCCACCATAGAAAATTCCCTTGCTTACGACACTGGCCAGGCATTTCCCTCTCCTCTAAGTCCTGCTCTCCAGAACGGCAGCACCCCTCTGTCTCGGGCTACGGGACACATACCTCTGCACACCCGGCAACAGGAATCCGGAACAGAGACTGGGAACGCACAGGTTAACTTGGGGCAAGTCTTGAGACCACAGTACACATTCCCCTCCTGCGAAGGAGAAACAGAATTGAAGGTCGAGAGGACCTGGGATGAGTAGGGACTCAAAACATTCCTCTTCTTCTCAGTGTTCTCCCAAGGTTAGTTCTAGACACTTCCTAAATGTCATTATGCTTTATTTTTTCCTGTTTACTCTTTCTCCATGCCAGAGACTATGTTACTGAAGAGTTGGCCCTCCTCTTTGGACCTCCTGGTCAAAGACGGTGCAAAAGCAGTCCGTGTAAGGGACGCCATCGGCCTGCCAAACCCCCAAATATGGTCTTGCTCCTCTCTTTTCTGTTCATTATATCCTCTGGTCCCCATCACACCCCAGCTGGATATTGGGATTTCAGGGAATGCAGATTTGCATGAGAGCCACCTTTTATAACACTCCAAACCATGGAGACAAGTTCTCTGGGGTAATACAAAACTACACAAATGATCTGAATGGACAGTTCAGTTCAGCACAAGGCAAGGGAGAGGAGCAAATTTACCTGCTATGTCTGTCTTTACATACTTTCCACTTCCTAAAGTTCTATGTTCCAAACATCATTCCTTAAACCTTGTTCTTTTTTTAAAAAATATTTTATTCATTTATTTGAGAGAGAGAGAGAACACGGGCAGTGGGAGGGGCAGAAGGAGAGGAGGAAGCAGACTCCCCACTGAGCAGGGAGCCCTGACATGGGGCTCGATCCCAGGAGCCCGAGATCATGACCCAAGCCAAAGGCAGACGCTTAGCCAACTAAGCCACCCAGGTGCCCCTAAACCTTGTTCTTAGAAGCATATTATTCTGGGGCTAGAAGGGTCCCTGAAAAGTCATTAGGAAGGGAAGGCCACAACCAAATTCTCCTAAACTACCGAGATACCATATTTTTACTAAAAGTCCCTAAGGGAGGAGATTCTAGAACTTCCTTCAGCAATCCAGTGTTTAATACCCTTAAAGGCAAAAAAAATTCCTACATCAAACTTCATTCCCTCACACTTGAGTTGAAACAGCCATTTTCTTCCATTTTCTGGTTCTACCTCTTACATTCTCTGCACTGCACAATTCAATGAAGATATAATCAATATACTTTATTCCTAAGGTATATACGGTTCTTCGGACAAGTAACATCAGAGGAATAACCATGTTTTGCTGAGAGAGTTCTCACTGCAGGGCATCAGGGGAAAACTGGTTGGGAGAATACACCAGAGATGGGAGCCAAGAGATAGCCCCGTTTTCTTGTGAATTGGACTGACTGGCCTTAGATGGCACTGATTGATTTTCTGCTCATGGCATCCCCAAGGCTTCAGATAGTTGAGTCCTTCTGATGAAGGGTTTGCTGGGGTGACTGTTTTAAAAAAGAGGACAGATCAAGACCATCAGTGCATGTTTGTCCATTTAAACAGTCCTAAAGCTTTAATAAAGACCAGGATATGATTGGGTCTGATTTCTTTCACACAGGTCAGGGTTGTTCAGGGTTCATGAAAATCAGGGAGTCTGGATTGACAGGGAGGCTTAGGATTTAAATGCAATTCGTCTTGGGGCATCCTCGGTGGTTGAGTCGGTTAAGTGTCCAACTCTTGCTTTCAGCTCAGGTCATGATCTCAGGGGTCGTGAGATCGAGCCCCGTGTTGGGCTCCGTGCTCAGCAGGGAGTCGGCTTGAGATTCTTTCCCTCTCCCTCTGCCCCTCTCCCCGCTTGCTCTCTCTCTCTCTCTCTCAAATAACTCAATCTTTTAAAAAAAATAAATGCAATTCGTCTTCCTTCCAAACACCTTACAGTGTAGGCTCCAAGTAAAGGTGTAAACCCAGGAGGAGCTCTGGTGTTGAGGTAGGGCCAGCAGGGACATTAGGACGCCAGGTCTTACCGAACAGCTGCACTGGGTACACTGATTGGGTTGCCGGTTCTGAAAGAGCCCTTCAGCCACGAACAGCTCACCGTGTTGGTAAGTGGTCCCGTTGTACTCACACGACTTGCTGGTCACCTTATTGTTTGCCGGGGGTAGGGAGTCTTCTGGGACAGGGTGGAGAAAAACCACACCGAGTATTGGCATCACTGCAAAGAATTTCATAAATCCCGACAGCAGATGGGGCTGTACCATGTAGAAGGAGTTAAAAGATAATCCCTGATTCAGTGGCTGATAAAGCAACCAGACAAGAATGGCAACGGACATGACCATCCATCTATTCTTGCATTTGTTGAGCATTTATTGAGTGCCTACTATGTGCCAGGTACTGTGATGGGCACTAGAGAGAGATCAGAGAAGGATAAGGGCTCCTGCCTCCACGGAGCTAAGAGACCAGGCGAATGATGTGTTAACTTGCCCGGAAGGAGGGAGTCCTTTCAGAAGAGGAACCATCCATTATAACTACCTTGGTAACTTTACTCCCTCCCATGTTTTATATCACTTGGTGTGTGCTTGTATGCTTATTCCGGCCTCTGGAGTCCTTGCTTTTTTTTTTTTTTTTAATGAAATATAGTTGACACACCAAGTCTTTGCTTATTTTTAATTCCACCACCCAGATCATCCTTCTCCTCCCACTCTTTTCCACCTGCTGATGTCCTGTATGATCTTGGGGGCTCAGGCAAAGTCCCTTTTCCTCTACGAAGCATTCCCTAATAGCTCCAGCCCACAACCTGGCCCTCTCCAGACATGTGATTTCCAAAGTGCACAATCCGGCACTCGAATGTTATGTAACTCCCATTTGTGACTTACGGTCGCCTAGCCAACAATTTATGAAGAGATTTCACATACATTACTACAAGAGAGCCTCACAACAACCCTATCAACCAGGTAAGGCAGATCCTTAACTCCATTTTCCACTTGAGGGTAACAAGCCTCTGAGGTTGACTTTTCCAAAGTCCTGGATGTAGTAAGTGATGACCCCAAACTCCATCTTCTTTCTGTCAACTTATGTACACACGTGTAGGTATCACTTTTTAAGGTCCTTAAAAGTCTCTCTTCTCTGTGGCATCTAATGCAGGGCTGTCCTGTAGCAAGAAATCGAGGCACCAATGCACTTGGTGAGTTGACGCTAATGAATGGTCTCAAGATGTCTTTTTACTGGGCTTCCTTCAAATGCACGGTGTGCATGCATGCATGTACACCTCATGTCCTTGCACACACACACCCAACAATGAACAAGCCCCCAGATTAAACTCATCACTGATGTGCAAATGCACACCAGATATAAACGGGGCTTGGGAAGTGCCCTTTGTGGAACAGTGGATGAAGAGAAATCAGGGGAGTTGTGTGTTTCGTTAGGGGAAGGCTTAGACAGTTAGACCATCCTTTCTTTCCCATCAGGCAAAAGTATAATGCAAATGAGTCCATCTTATGGGTTAATTATACCTCAATACATCTGTTTAAAAAAACAGAATGATACTCTGGTTTCTCTTCAGATTGTATAAATCTTTCGCTTTTTGAAAAAAAAAAACAGAATGAAATGATTCTTAGGATGTAGGTGAAAATGATAAAGGCTAATGGTAATAATAATAATAATAATAATAATAGCTAATATTTACTGAGCCCTAATTGATATGCAAGGCACAATGGTGAATACTTTTCCATACATGATTGCATTGGCTTTTACTAGTAACATTCTTTTTTTTTTTTTTAAAGATTTTATTTATTTATTTGAGACAGAGAGAATGAGATACAGAGAGCATGAGAGGGAGGAGGGTCAGAGGGAGAAGCAGACTCCCTGCCGAGCAGGGAGCCCGATGCGGGACTCGATCCCAGGACTCCAGGATCATGACCTGAGCCGAAGGCAGTCGCTTAACCAACTGAGCCACCCAGGCGCCCCACTAGTAACATTCTGAAATGGACACGGTTATGCCCATTTTGCTGATGGGGAAACTAAGGCTTAAGAAACTGTCTTGTCCCAGGTCGCACAATTTGTGAGCTACAGTAGCACCAACATCTGAACTGATGTCTGATTCTAGAATCTTCCATTCTGGCCCCTATCAAGGAGGGTGTTAATCACATCAAACCTGTAACACGGGAGGGACCATTTAATTTAAAAACCTAAACCAATGGAACATGAAGGCTGTGTTGTCCCTCTAGAATGTTTTGGCCTATGATACCCAGGAAACTGATATCACACTTATTTTGGCTTCAGCGATTTGCATAACTAACTCAATTCTATACTTTGCTATATAAATTGATCTAGCTGCAATTTCTGAGTAACTCACTCCTTGGGTGTTAACTACTTATTAATGACTCCTTACAGGATACAAAAGTAGTTCCTTAAGAAGCCTTAGGGGCATCTGGGTGGCTCCGTCGGTTAAGCATCTGACTCTTGCTTTCAGCTCAGGTCATGATCTGAGGGTTGTGAGATCAAGCCCCACGTTGGGCTCCACACTCAGCAGGGAGCCTGCTTGAGATTTTCTCTCCCTCTCCCTCTGCCCCTCCCCCTGCTTGGACGCTCTCTCTTTCTTAAATAAATCTTAAACAAAAGAAAAAAAAGAAGAAGACTTAGCTCCTAGAGAATGTTTAACTCAAACCAGTTGACCCTAAGTCCCTGCTCCTGCCCACAAGTACACACAACCAGACAGCTGCAGCTGGTAGACAGGAGTGAAACTCACTGGAGAAGGGACAGGGGCAGGCCCATTCACCCCCCTAGGCTCTAATTATACCAAATCTCAGTATTTTGTGGTGAAAGAAAACTGGGATGACCTACAAAAGAATATCTACCATGACTCTTACAGGAGTTGACAGATCTTTGGAATGCCAAAAGAAGAAAAAGAAGGTTGGAATTATTTTGCCTCAGAAGAATGTGGATTGATTTTTGAAATGGGCCTTTGACCAAGGGATCAACGGGGAAGCAACTGCAGGGTGAGGTTTTCCAGTGGAATCATGACCCTGAGAGTCTTTCTTGCAACAATCTCAGAGTAGCCTGGCATAGAGTCTATTAATCTACTCAACAGGAGATAGGGAGAACGCGAAAGAGAGAAAGACAAAACAGAATCAAAGAAAAAGAAACCAATTATGAGCATGCTTACTGCTAGTTTTACACAATAAATTTATCTTAATTTCTTTCCATTTATTCTTATTTCATTCTTTTAATAGCCCTAACGGAGTGGTAAGAGAATTACAGAAATGAGGCTACTGATATCCCAAAAGATTTGGCCCATGTCACCCAGGTACTCAACAGGAAAGCCAACTCAGAAATAGAGTTTTCCTGTCTCGAAATTTGTGTTCTTTTTACAGAGTGGGTGTTAAACATTGGCAGATGGAAAGAAACGGAAATCCATACCTGGAAGAGATATCTGTGCTCCCATGTTTATTGCATCCCAAGCTCATTGCAGCATTATTCACAATAACCAAGGTAAAGAAACAGCCTAAGTGTCAGTCAGTCAAAGAGCTGATAAAGAAACTGTGGTACATATATACAACAGAATATTATTCAACCTTAAAAAAAACATCTCGCCACTTGCAACAACATGGATGAACCTGGAGGACATTATGCTAAGTGAAATAAGCCAGATACAGGAAAAAAAAAAAATTGCATGGTCTCACTTTTTGTGAAATCTAAAAACACATCAAATCTATAGAAGCAGAGAGTAGAACGGAGGTTACCAGGGCCCAGGGGTGGGGGAAATGGGGAGATGTTGGTCAAAGGGTATAAAGTTGCAGTTACATAAGATGAATAATATGTCTAGAGATCTAATGTACAGCATGATGAGTATAATTAATAATACTAGGTTGTATCCCGGACATTTGCTAAGAGAGCAGATTTCAAGTGTTCTCCCCACAAAGTAAATGGTAACTATGTGAAGAGATGATGCTAATTAGCTTGACTCTAGTAATCATTTCAATACATATACATATGTATATCAAATCAGCATGTTGTACATCTTAGACATATACAATTTGTACTAAAGAAAAGAAGTGTTTTTTAAACTGGGAGGTAGGATCATGGAGTCAAAAATCCCAGCTTGGGTACCCACTCTCCATAACCTTGCACAAGCCACTTTTCCCTTTGGGCCCCAATTTTTCTATCTAAGAATGGGATGTGTGGAAGTGTTGAATCACTATATTGTACACCTGAAACTAATACAGCACTGTATATTAACTACACTGGAATTAAAATAAAAAATATATATATGAAAAAAGACACCCCCAAACTTAGTGGATAAAAACCCCAAATCATCATCATAATAAATTAATTAAATGGGCATGGACACAAATGTTAGCTGCACAGTAAAGTGGAACAACAAGGTCCTTACATTTCTAATTTATAATGCAAAGTAAAGAATGTACACTCTCAGAAATAAATAAGAAATAAATAAGTTGGAGAAGTGACTTGTAATCTGCAGTTTTATCAAATAAAAATGGGTATTTGCTTCATTAAAAAAATGGGACATGGGACTCAAATCTCCTCTTGCATCTTTAGAAGGCCAACACAGCATGCAGGGCGCCACAGAAGCAAGGAAGACCACCTGGTACTCTACGATCTCCCTTCCTAGATTTTCCAAGGTGGCTGGGCTTCTAACCAACTATCCTTGGAACACATTTGGTATTCCTGGCTGAACACTGGCAGAAAATCAGTCCAAAGCAAAGCTGGCCTCAGGGCCCCTCAGGGGAATCCTACTCTGAGGAGGAGTGGGACAAGGACATCGTGGGGTCAGCAGACAAGTGTGAAGCCACGTGACTCCAGTTGTGCTGGGAAAGAAACTGTTCCTTCCATGCTCCCCACACCCCCATTAGGGATGGTCTCACATGTAGCAGAACTATGACTTCTGGGGAGCTGGGAAAAACACTCCCCTATCCTCAATATCTCTCCCTTCCTTTCATCTCACTGGTGCCTAAAATGCCATCACTAGAAGTCCATTTCTTTGGGGTAAATGGTTGCCCTTTTGCAATCAGATTTTATAACCCCAGTATTTCTGTGAGAGGTTACACATTGTCCAGAACATCTCAGTATGAATAATTTTGCCACAAGTTTGTTATGCTTTGTTTTTTGCTCTTCAGAGAAACTGGCAAATTTTACCAAGAAGTCTGTGGTCCT